GAGAGTGACTGCCCTTGATATCAAGCCTGCATTTAACTGAGTCTGGCATCAAGGAGCCCTACCAATACTCAATAAATGGGAATTATTTGAAAATCTCTCCACTGGTTGGAATTGTGCCTGGCATACAGGAAGATGGGCTGTGGTTGTTGAAGGTCACTCATCTCAACTCCAGGACATCTCTGCAGACCTCCTTCAGGGAGATGTCCTAGGCCCAATCATCTTCAGCTGCGTCATCAATGACCTTCCCTCCATCATAAGGTGACAAGTGGGGATGTTCACCAATGATTGCACAGTATTCAGCACCACTTGCGATTCCTCAGGTACTGAAGCAGTCCATGTTCAAACCAATACGTTCCGGATAATATCCAGGCTTGAGCTGACATGTGGCAAGTAATATTTGCACTACACAAATGCCAGGCAATGACCATCTCCAGTGAGAGACAGTCTTAACTTCTTGACATTCAATGGCGTTACCACCACTGAATCCCCACTATCAATATCCTGGATGTTACTGACCTGCAACATTAACTCTGATTTTTTTCTTCACAGATGCTGCCAGAGCTGCTGAGCTTTTCCAGCAACTTCTGTTTTTGTTCCTGGGGGTTATCATTGGGCAGAAACTTAACTGGACTTGCCATGTAAATACATTGGCTACAAGAGCAAGTCAGAATTTAGGAATACTGCAATGTGTAACTCACCACCTGAATCCTCAAAGTCCATGCACCATTTACGAGGCACAAGTAAGGACTGTGATAGAATACTCCCCTCTTGCCTGGATGGGTTCAGTTCCCGCTGCACTCATGACACCATCCAGGACAAAGTAGCTTGCTTCATTGCCTCCACATCCACAAATGTCTGTTCAATCGACATCAACACTCAGTACACACAGCTGCTACTGTCTACAAGATGCACTGCAGAAATTCACCAAAGATCCTTTGACAGCACCTTCCAAACCTGCAGTCGCTTCAATCTTGAAGGACTAGGGCAGCAGATACTTAGGAACGTCACCACCTGCAAGTTCCTCTCCAAGCCACTTACCATCCTGACTTGCAAATATATTGCCGCTCC